TGGGGGCCGGCAGGCTAGGGGCTGGGGCAGGCTAGGGGCTGGGGCAGGCTGGGGGCGGGCACCTTTCTTCCGGGCGGTGTCATCCGGGTCCAGACTCCTGGTGACCGTGACCACCTTGAGGACCAAGTGGTTCCCGCCCTGGCGGATCATGGTCACCACCTGCCGGTGGCCGACCTTGACGACGTTCTCGTTGTTCACCTGCGGGGAGAGGAGGCGGGCGGTGAGCTCGGGGGGACGCGGCGCCCAGCTGGAGGGGTCCCACCGGGCAGGCCCTGTGGGAGCGAGGAGGGGCCTCGGGGAAACCGGGAGGGTGAGGCCGGGCCTCCAGCCAGGCGCCGGCCAGGGCTGCTTCTCGAGAGTGAATGTCCCCGCAGCTGCCCGGGGGGGTGCAGGACTGCCTCCTGAGCGGCCTGAGCCTCGGAGGTGTCCACCTGGGCAGATCCAGGAGCAGGTGCTGGGCGGCCAGCTTCGCGCCAAAGCCCAGCGCAGGCTCCCTGCCCGGCGGGCCTTCCACAGGCACGGTTAGGAGGGAACGCGACACTTGGCCGCCTCGTCCCTCGCCCGGACACCCCTGTTCCCTCCGGGCACTCCCTCCTTCCTCTCTGGTCCAGAGGCCAGAAAAGACAGACAGCTTGGCTGGCGAGGTGCTAAGGCCGCTGGGTCCCTCTGCTCAGGGGAGAGACAACCGCTCCCAGGACCATGGCGCTAGGGTCACCAGGACCTTGGCTGACACGCCGTCCATGCGGGCCCTCGGCCGGGAGCTCCTGGTGCTGATCACCGCCTGTCCTTGCCCTCTGACTCCCATCCGTCCCTACTGGGATGGCACTCGCGGCATGAAGGTAGACAGGACCCCAGTGATGTCCGGTGGGCTGGTGGGGCCTGAGGCCCCTGCCCTGGGCACCTCCGAGGGCTCAGCCAGGCTGCAGGCCCCTGTGCCCACCACCCTCCACCTCTCCCGAGCCCACCACCGAGAGGAAGGTGGACCTGGTTCAGAGCGGGGGGGGGGGCTGAGCTCCCCGAGCTACCTCCCCTGATCTCCAGGGTTCAGGCTCCAGGGCTCCAGCCTGGCTCCCTCCCTCACGCCCCCGGCACCGACATGCCACCCAGGTGGGCCCTGCCCCCTGCAGTCCCCTCCCCCACAGCTCCTGGTGTGAGCGCTGGGCACGGAGGGTGAAGCCCGTGCACTGAGCACTGCCCAGGTGATCAGGGAATGAGCAGCGCGCGACACCCCGGCCCCATTTTGCTGCACTTCTCGGCCGGCTGTGGATTCCTTAAACACGGTCAGTCACAGGTTCACAAGCGTGGTGCGTCTTCACAGACGCAACAGACACCCTAGGTGCCCGGCCCTGACGACCAGGGGGCACAAGCGGGCCTCTTCCAGGCCAGCTCGCCCTGCTTAACCCCGGCTCCCCGGGACCCCTTCAGGCCTGGACGGGCCCACGGGACAGCCAGTCCCTCTCCCCTGCCCTGGGGGTGCAGCCTCCCTCTGGGGGGCCGAGGGGGGTGGCTGCCGTCTCTTTGCGAGGTGGCTCCCAGCCACTGTTTCTCACCGGTTTTCTCAGGGTGACTAGGAAACCAGATGATCTCAGGAAGAAGCTCACGGGAAGGAGAGGGTGACGGAGGGTTTGACTGGGAGAGGAGACCGCTGTCCCCAGGCTTCCCTGGGCGGAAGCACACGGCCTGCCTCGGCGGGACTGCAGACGCCGGGACACGGGCCCAGAATCCTGCTCAGCCCTCCACGTCTCCCCCACAGGCTCCAGATTCATTCCAACCCTCACTCTTGCTCTGACGGCCACTAAACCCAGGAAGGAGGGATGGGGAGGTCCGGGCGGACGGTCCGTCCCCCGCCTGCTGGGGGCTTACATTTTAACGGGGGAGCCGAACAGCACGTGAGCCAGCGAACAGAGTCCTCTCGGCTGTGTGGAGCGCCCCCTGGGGAAGAGGGCTGGGCAAGCGGGGGCAGGCTCCCGGGCGAAGGCATCATGGGGGGCAGCGTAGGGAGGGCCGTGGACAGCGGCCTAGTGCGGGCTGGTGAGACGGCAGGGGGCACAGAGCTGGGCGAACCAGGCGGGGAGCGGGCAGAGGGAACGCCGAGGTTCTGAGCGGCCCAAGGCCCACCCAGCGGGGCCTGGAGAGCCGGCTGAGAACATGAGGCTTCGGGCGCGAGAGTGACGTGGCTGATCCACGTTCCGGGAGGACCCGCTGCTCCGGATGGGCGGTGGGCTGGGGCCAAGAGCGGAAGCAGAGAGGGCAGAGCCTGGGCTGGCAACGTGGGCAGCAGGGCCCCCAAGGGAGGCGGGAGCGGCGGGGAGACCAGGGTCAGGTCTGGGGCCCCCGCACGAGGTTCCGTGAGGACGCGGGAAGTGCGGGACTGGGAGCTGCCCGCCGGAGGCCCTGTGTGCGGTGGGTGGGCCAGGGGCGGGACCACCGCCTGCTGTCCGTGCCGAGTCAGGGCAGCCGTGGCGTGGGCCTCGAGGACCCGCCAAGGGCAGTGTGAGGGGAGGACTGGCTTCTCACAGCCCCCACCGCAGAACCCACCCTGGCTGTGACCCCTCACACTTTCCTCTCCCCTTCCAGCTCTCCGCAACCCCACCCAACTTAAGCTCTCACCGGGTTTGCAAGGTAGTAAGCTTTGGATAGAGTCTGGCCTTAACAGCCAGAAACGCACCGAGGTCAGAGCTGTGGGCAGGGTGGGGGCCTCTGTGGGCCGGCGGCTGGTGTTCAGCTGAGCGCGCTAACACTAACAGCACACAGGGCCAGGAGGCTGTGCCGTGATGCAAGCACACAGCCCTCCTCTGAGCAGGCAGAGGCACCGGCGCCAACCGCTCAGCCTGGAATCAGCAAGCCCGGGACCATCAGGCAGGATGGGAACAGGCTGCTCCAGCCTCCCACTGCAGAGGGACAGGAGGGCTTCGGTTTCTCAGCCTCAAACAACTTGAAGCTTCAGTTCAGCCAGATCGGAACTTCGGAGCCAGCCACCATCCTGAGAGCCGCAAATTGCTCGTGTGGTGACAGGATGAGTGGGTTAAGTGCTTGCTGTTTCCTCAGTTGTCCGGGCTGACATCCCAGCCCAGGGATCAGACCTGGGTCTCGTGCACTGCAGGCAGATTCCTCACCACTTGAGCCACCAGTGAAGCCCATCCTGAACTGCACTGACCCTCGAAAATGTTAACAAGAAATAAAACCACACCACGCTTGCAATTCTGGCATGCTGCCACCAGGAGGCGTGCGCCTTCACCACCGGCCACATTCACAGGCTACCCCAGATCCTCCAGCCTTGGAGCAGAGAGAAGCTACTCACAAATCACAGATCTCGCTAACTGGTAAGAAGCATACCATTCTCTTCGTACGCAGTTCTCACATACAAGACGGTGCGATTGATGGAGTCACATCTTGGCAGAGGCAGCGCCACCAGCCTGGCCACCACCTGGGGTTCAGGAAACTTCTGCCTGCCTTTCCACACATGTGCATCTTTCTAAGTAACTCTTCCTCCACTTAAGTATCCAGGTTGTACGTGTACATGGTTTAGAGGCAGACTTCTGTAAGGCTTTTGTTACAAAGCCAACAGGACCACACCACCCCCGCCCCACCTCTCACCAGAGCCTTGCGCCAATTCTTTCTGCGTCCATCACTGCAGCTCTGACCAGGCTTACATTGCTCCTCCTTGATGCTTTCAATATCATCTGCTGATATGCCGCCACTGAAAACGATGATTTAGCTCTGCTCTCTTAGCTGTGGCACTATTGCAATTGTGGACCAATTAATTCTTTGTTTGGGTGGGCACCGAAGGGTGTTTAGCGGCCTCCTTGCACTGTGTCCACGAGATCCAGCAATTCCGCCCCCTGCCCCCAACTCCACCAGCTGTGACAACCAAGAATGCCTTGTCCTCTGGGAGGTCAAAGTCACCCTCTGTGGAGAATTCTTCATCCCCCCACTTCCCCAGGACTTCTGCCCTCTGGTGACGGTTACATGGGAGTTTCAACCAATCAAATGAAGCGTTTACATCATGACTATTAATTAGCTTGCCGGGTGGCTCAGTGGTAAAGTAACCTGCTTGCCAATGTAGGAGATGAGGGTTCGATCTCTGGGCTGGGAAGGTCCCCTGGAGGAGGAAATGGCAACTCCACTGCAGTATACTTGCCTGGGAAACCCCATGAACAGAGGAACCTGGCGGGCTACGGTCCGCGGGGTCGCAAAAGCGTCGGACACAAGTTAGGGGCTGAAGGTCAGCGTGTGGTCTGTTCACAGGTGAACCGCACAGCATGCTGTGATCGCTTCGTCTTTTCCAGTGCATTTTGTTTTCCCTGGAGTGAGATGATTTTCTGGTGTCTTTATACTGGTTTAATTTTCTGTGTGCTTGACAGTAATTCACATCCAAACACTTCCTTAACTACATAAATCTCTTTTCAGAACCCGGGACATCGGGTGTGAAGTCTGCCGCCTTGATGAAATCACTCCTGCAGACTTCTTTAACAATGTGGCTTCTGTGTACACTTGGCCTGGGCCCCCATCAGTCACCCTCAGGATTCCCGATTCTGCCCTGTCTTGGGTCTTCTGAATCCTGGACCCCATGTATGTATATGTATTTGATTCAGAACCTCATTTTTTGGTTAGAGGACAGTCTCTAGTACTTTTGAAATAAAAGAAGTTTGGGAGATGATTTTTTTTGAGACACTGTCTATTTGAAAATGGCTTTAACTGTACAGCTAGACAGTAGTTTGCCTGAGGTATGAAATTTGAGGTTGGAGGATGTGGTACAAGTAAGCTCATAAAGTCTGGACAGAATACAGTCCCCTCATCCTCAAACCCAAACCAACAGAAACAGCTCCCTGAAAGCTCTGGAGCATGAACACAGGTGCGCAGGTTTTGCGTGGAAGCAGAAAGTTGCAAGCTTTGGACCATGGAGGTGGTGTGGTGTAAGTCACCTGATGCTCTGCTAGGAGCGGCAGCCTCTCTGGTTTGAGAAATCAGAGGACGCGGCCCTTCGTGTCCACGGCTGTTAAAGGGAGGGGAGAGTCCCAGACAGAAGAGAGCCGGAGAGGCGGTCCCATGTTCTCCGCGTAAACTTCTCCCAAGTCTCCGGTTGACATCTGAACTGTGTGTGCAGAGGGCCAACTCAGAGCTGCCTGCAGATGAGGCTGAAACACCTGAGTGTGTCTGAGCTGCTGCCTCCGTAGCCGAGCCAGTTTGCGACTTGA